GAGGCACTGGGGGGGTCACTGGGCCATACTGGTCCATACTGGGAGGCACTGGGGGGGTCACTGGGCCATACTGGTCCATACTGGGAGGCCCCCCAGCCCTGACCCCGCCCCTGGCCCCGCCCAGCCGCCCCCGGAGGCTCCTGATTGGCTGCTCCGATTGGACGACGATGACGAGGGGGCGGAGCCAATGGACGATGACGTCACCGAGGAGGAGGAGGGGGCGGAGCTCCTCGAGTAAAGGGGGCGTGGCTTGGGGAGGGAGTGGGAAGAGGCCACGCCCCCCTTTTCTCATGGCCACGCCCCCGCAGGGTGGAAGTGGGCGGGGCCTACGTGGAACTGGTGGAGGCGGCACTGGGAGCACTGGGGGAACTGGGAGAGAACTGCGGGTAACTGGGAGGGACTGGGAGGGACTGGGAGGGGACTGGGGGTCACTGGTTTATACTGGGAGGGACTGGGAGGGACTGGGAGGGGATTGGGGGGCCACTGGTTTATACTGGGAGGGACTGGGAGAGAGTTGGGGGGTCACTGGTTTATACTGGGAGGGACTGGGAGGGGATTGGGGGGTCACTGGTTTATACTGGGAGGGACTGGGAGAGGATTGGGGGGGTCACTGGTTTATACTGGGAGGGACTGGGAGGTCCCTGAGGGGTTACTGGGCTGAACTGGGAGGCACTGGGGGGGGGTGGTCTGACTCCTGTTACTGGTCTGTACTGGTCCATACTGGTCTGTACTGGTCTATACTGGTTTATATTGGTCTGTACTGGTTCATACTGGTTTATATTGGTCCGTACTGGTTCATACTGGTTTATACTGGTTTATACTGGTGTCCCCAGTTCCGCCTTCCTGCCGTACCTGGAGCTGACCCTGGCGGCCATCTTGGAACTGACCCAGGTGACCTTTGACCCCTCCCAGTCCCTCCCAGTATAAACCAGTGACCCCCCAATCTCCTCCCAGTCCCTTCCAGTCCCTCCCAGTATAAACCAGTGACCCCTAAATCCCCTCCCAGTTCCCTCCCAGTCCCTCCCAGTCCCTCCCA